TTTTATGTAGCAGTCCCTATATTCCTTAGTATGTGGCTCCACTAACATCAGACCAGTGAATTTGTTATTTTTATAGCTTGAGATTGATTGAAATCATTGGTTTAATTCTTAACTAACATCACATGATGAATCGATCAAGTAGCATGCCTTCGGCTGACTGGTCCCTTGCCCCATACCACTTGCTTCTATCTTTAGTTAGTACTGCTAGGGCACTGCTTCACACATCCTACAATAACCAAAAGGTTTTCGTATGTGTTATTCAATTTTGTGAAGCGTACTCATATGAATTAAGCTAGACAGTCTCATATGACCTAGTGAGATCTATTTGTTAGTTGCTGACTCATGGAATTATCATCTCAGGTTAACTATGGCTCCTTAATGACCTTCTGGATTTTGAATTGATACGCTTCTCTATGAAATCCATTTACTAACATTAACTATAAAATTGGCTTAGTGTGTCTTCAATTTTATACGTTTATACACTCATCTTTTCTTGCCATTTGACGTTTAGGTATACTGCCTTCTAAGGGTGTGTATTTGTCCCATTAGTCTAGTTCTCCATTACTTGGTTAATTTCATGCTATTTTCTAAGCCTTGTAAATGTACATAGGCCCAGCTCATTGGCTGATACATTATATAGATGTGTCCTGAACGAGAACATATCAGCTCTGCCAAAAACATTAAATCATTTTAATTGGTTTTAATGAAATATCTCAAATGGATTAAATTAATATAAACACCAATTATTAACAACAGTTATTTTAAAATTTAGTTCTTCGGTCATTGTTCTATTGAGCTTCAAATACTTTTTTATTAAGATTCCTGCCTTTATATGAGTGCCTGAAGTCAATCTATTGACTGTTTTTCTACGATCAGAGTATTCGAGTCGTTTATATACTAAGTTAGAATAAAGAAAGAGAGACTAGGCTTCTTTATACTTCTTGGTGTATCATCGTTAGGCTGACTTATCTCTAATTAGTATTTTATAAAGAAATTCGTAGGGCGACCTTACTAAGAAGGAAAAAGATCTTCCTTGGCCTGTTGTTACTTGATTTTACTGAGATTATTAGACTTTTCTCTTTGATGAAGTACGTTATTGTATCCAGAAACCATTCCCGTGAATATTTCAAGCTAGCACAGTCAAGAAAACTAAACGTCCTACTATATGCTATACAAATGCAATGGTTTCAAGAAATGTAGTATTTGTTTAGCTTATTCTATCGATTGCAAAGGACATTATATGTTTTTCGTTCATAATTAGGTTTTCAAAATTTTACATGTGCTTTCCTAATCGTTTGCGACCATCGCTGATGTTTTCTTATTCTTGCACACGCCTACATATACACATACATGTAAGTGTCCATGAAAGTAGACTACCTTAATCATCTCATACTTAACAAAACTAATTTCTTGGAGCATATTTAGCGTGTTTAAAGGACTAGTACGTTTTCTTGGCTTAGTTTATTTTGGATTTATTATAACCTTGATTTCAAGCTTGAGTGATTTTTTAATTGACCAACCAAACTCAACACAAGAGAAGATGAATACCTTGGGTACTATCATTCGAAACGTCCCAGTTATGCTAAATGGTAGCAGGAGAGAATACTATCTGATGTCTTTGGTAATGTTAACCTGAGGATCCCTCTGTTATATGCAAGTCAGTTTAAGTAGTTGGATCGCCTTTCACTGTATATAAATCGTTTGGCCTCTCAATTTGATTGTGGTATCAAGGCGACATCGGAGCATATACCTTGTCCGGTCTCCTTCGTCATGGTAGTCTTGATAATTACTGGCGTCCGACTGTATATTTGGTACATTCTCAGACGTTTCGCCGGCATTGCCTGTTGGTCATGTCTATCTTAGCACCAAACTATGACAACACGATAAAGTTACCAAAATGAGTTCGGACTACCCTGACTGGTTATATATCTGGTAGGAAGTCGCCTAATATTTTATGTATTTAATATAAATATTAAGTTTATTTTGGAGCTATCAGCAAGTTGTTGCTTAAAAACCCGAGTCACCTTATGCCATTCAAGGTAATGGAAATCCTCATTATTGAACTAGTTGAAATCAAGTGAAACCTTGCTGTGCCCTTGAATTTCAATAATCACCTATCCGTTACTTAAATATCAGGCAATCTCACCCTAAAGGACCCAGGTCTGCTTTTACATATACAAGGATCGATTCAGTTTCGACATCTAGTTATTGTTATGCTGTTGTCGCGCGCTATGACATATATACGATTCCCTTTCCTGCACTTTCTCTTGTAAAAACGTATATTACGAGAGGCTTGGCTCGTTTGAAAGTCAGATCTTTCTTGTGACCCATTATGACCCGGGGGTGTAACGGAGTGGTCATATTTTCATTAAGATTGTTTATGAGATCTCGGCTTGATCGAAATTGTTATGAAGTCCCGGCGTATGAGCTTCATGAAAGACAGAGCTAAGTTAAACTCTGAAATTGTGAGGTTTTCTATTTATCTTAATGCGAAAAGCTCAACTATTAACCCTTCTGTCAGCTTAAGCTACTTAAGGTAATTAATTATATATGCATTTACTTCCGCTTAATGAACATAAGAGTGAATTATTTTGGATAGCTTAACTAAACTCAATGATCCGTTGCCATGCGTTTTCTTATTAATCGAGTTGAATTTTCCGGTGACTTCCATTCTCTTGCTCTTTGGTTGCTTTTGCTTCTTAATATGCTGGTTATTTGATTTAATTTACTTGCATGGATTCTGTCTCGGAAGCCTAGCAGGATAATGCTTCATTCATTCTAGAAAATCATTTTCTATTTTAGGCTAGGTTGTTGCCTGTTAAAGTTATGCTAATGTTTTGCTTAA